TAATTTTTTCAGTTGTTATTAACAAATTTGAAATGTTGCGTTAATTTTTTTGAGGTGTGTAAATAAAAAAACATTGAGATACAGATTTTTATTCTCTATAATTTTTGTATTTAATGTTTTGCTCTAAAACAATTAGGGGAGCCAATATTTTCAAGTTTCTGTTTTTACTTGTAAAATCCCTATGTTCCAAAAACGATTCTATACCCGGTATGTATACAACAAATATATTTATTTCTTTATCAACCTTTCTCCAACGAACACCTCTCAATAACGGACACTTTCTGAGTCTCCACCACAGTCCGTTGTAGAGAGGTTTTGCTGTACCTCTAATGACCATAAAACTCGTTACACCAGAGATTCACAACACTATATATATATGTATGGCAATACACTTTTGTAAGTCATAAATTTGTATTGATGATAAAGTGATAAATTAAGTGCAACTCTTCTTCCAAAAAGTCCTGGCTGCCATGAATTTGCAAATTCAGTTGTTTGAAAGGTATGACCACATCTATACTATAAACATAACCGAACTAAAGATTTGTGTAAGTAGTAAGTATAATAACAGTCCTAATATTCATAAAATTAGAGGTTCATTTTATCACATCCATAACATTTTCCGCCTTTTAAGAACTACAGATCCAATTATAGACCCTTGAGAGACTCCTGAATTAACTAAATAGCCATAAGACGTGTAGTTTTTTATTTTTACTAAATGCATGGGATTCGTAAGATAACTGTAGACCCAAGAAAACATGGTTCACGTGCATCATACAAAGCAAGGTTTTGAATTAAGATTATGAAAATAGGAGTATTAAAAGTTTTCATAAAATCTGCATAGATGCAATCAACTTAATTAAACGTAGACCATCCACTGTAAAAATCAAGTCGCGATGGACTGATGATATTTTTGAAAGTTCCAAACAGCTTGAGTGTTGCAATTTTTTGAAATATTTTAGATGACGTTGATGAGATACTAATCGGTCTGTTATTAAGCTATTTATCTAAATTTTAGAATGTTTTCAACAGTACTGCTATGAAGCAGATGAGGGGATTAAAATTGATTTCTGTTAATTTTCGTTCAAAATACCTCTAATTACCAGAAAACTCTCATTGACAGAAATGAGATTCACAACAATGTGTTTACATGTATTGTACTCATAGAATTAAGGGGATAATAACAAACACTACTTGGTCCCAAGGAAAGCTATATCTTCTGTCCTTCTGTCCATTATATCTCTATCCTTCAAATTCTGTGGCTCTATGAGATCTTTATTTTACCGGCGACTTTTCTACTTCTGTGGCATTGGTTGTGCATCCTTAAAACCCAATGTTTTAAAAGAATAGATGATATAGTTCCTTATTTTACACTAAAAATCCTTGCCTTCCTTTCACTTCATCCTTCTCGGGAGAAAGGGATAATACACCCTTGGCAAGGTGAGTACCAAATAGAAATAAGGTCAGGTTAAATTCTAGTATGTAATATAAACAAAGACAAAATACAACCTAAACGAGTAATGTTCTGTTGCCTAAAAATGCCTAATTTCAAACATTTGCAATTTTAAGCGCATATATGTAATTATCAAAAATTTAACGTGGTAAAATCCGGACCTTATTTTTTAACACCTCACTTTGGTTATGCTAGCAATACTTTAAATTTGGTGGTCACCAGACAGTGAAAAACTATTGTAAATGCAGTGTTTTAAAAACTATTTCAATCGAACAGTAACTGTAAGGAATTGCTTTTGTAAAGTAAATGTTCTAATCACTAAAATGCTCCTAAAATATATACGATTTTCAAAATATTTTTGACGCAGTTTTCTCTTCTGTTAAAGTCTTAAATATTTTACACGGTTATCCTCTACAAATTTTTACACAAAAAGTGCATGTAAAAAGCAAACTTTCTTACTTCAAACGTTTCCATCATTCAGATAGTGCAAGCAGCCCTTGTCCGTTAGTCCTGCTTCGTCCAATGCAAGCTCGCTATTAATGTTTAATCTTGAAGCAATTTGTAAAAACGTGCGTTTCACGTTTCGGGGTGTGAGTATGAATTCGCACACCTAATTTAAATTTCAATAAGCAGAGAAAGCGACAATGGGCCGTGAGTGATATACACAGTACGTGGAGTGAACGAGAAAGAGTGAGAGCGAGGGCGTATCACAATGGGGGCTTTTGTGGACATCTCAATCTACGCCCGTGGTGGAAGTGTGTCTAGTTACAATGATACACATCTGCATTTGAAAGAGTGTCAGCCAGCGACGAGTTGGAAATGATATGGAAATTGATTTGTGTCGACAGTTTGCATAAGATACGAGGAGGCGGTGTTTTCACAGATAATCATCCAAGAGGAAAAACATATTTCCCAATTCGCGCTTGTACCCCTATCAAGCGTCCAACTATTTTTTAATGGAAAGTGCTTTTTGAAGCGCTCGGATCCACTTTAGATTCGTTTTGATACGAACGTTTACACTTGTACTTTTTCAAAAAAGATTCGGAGATGTAACTGATGTGATTGATAATTTGTGACAGATAAATGGCGGCTTTGAAAACGAACGCACTGTGAAAAACTTCAGCTTCCTGTAACATTTTTTGTTAAAAAAATATTCAGTTACAATTTACAGTTATTTAATTGGAAGAACAATGCAAATTTGAGCCGTATTCAGAGTCTGTCGTCTCTACTAAATAGGATAGAGTGATTTTGCATTACGGTTTAGGAATAAGCGTAGAATATGGAACCAACAATTAACGGTATTTGATAAGCAAGGTTACAAAAAACCCATAAAGTTTCTTGCACATCTTGAATGTCATAGTAAAGCCTGGAGGTTTATAGGATTCCTTCACAGAATCGCAACTCATGAAAAGTTTTACGTTTTAGAAGTAGATACGAACTGAAAGTTTTGCTTTTCATAATACATATCGACTGAACATGGGTTCAGGATGTGCTAGCTAATAAAAATATTTTTAGTTTTTTTGAAAAAATGTTAAATCAATGTGTTTTTATGATTACGCAGCAAATTTATTTTTTTATACATATGTTTTGCTGATTTTGTTTTATTTTCATGAATGTGTAAATATATAATTTGATTTGATTTGATTTTATTGACGGAATACTCTTATTAACAAAAAATAAGTTTACAATAATGAAAACGAATTAATTACTTATGAATATAAATAATAATAATCAAATTCTTCCATTATAACTTACAACCTGGCCAAGAAAGTGAAACTTAGTAGTCTGGAAAAGTGATACCGTACTTTGGCTGGAATAATCATTTGCTGCGACCATTACTCGCTTCAGCGGATGATTTTTAACCAATTCGTTGTTGATGCAGAAATTCTGAAAATGTTTTTACTACGAATACTGCAGCTATCAATAGCGGGTACTAAGAATGATAATATGGCTAATAAAAATGAATTGTCCATATTATTGTTAATGATATTATGTAAAACACAAGCATCTGAGATGCACCTACGAATGTTAAACGTTTGTATATTAAAAATATTCATGATCTAACTGTAATCACTCTTCCCATATCGACGACCTACTTTAAATTCTAAAATTCGAAGAAATTTCTTTTGAATTTTCTCCAACAGTTGGTAATACTGTGGTGTGATCAGGTGATTGAAACAGTACTTGAGTTTTGGCGTATTTATTTTGATGTTGTCGGTACGGCAGGTTTAGGAAGAGTCTTGGAGTTTGTGAAATTGAAATGAAAAGAATGGTCGGTAGAAAGCGGTGGAAACAGTTGTGTCTAAAGGGTTCTTGGAAAGAAAGTTTCGGTTTGATACTGAGAAGTAATTAAATACAGATTATATACAATTTTGTGGGACTTGCCAGCCCCCACAGTACCCCCCTGTCAGTGATTCGCGCAGGGTGTGAATTACGAAAATCCACCTTCTAGCTGATCTGAGAAACGGACGCTCCTACGGGTCCTGGTGGTGTGATGCCTCGGTGATGGAGTCGTAACAACAGCTGGTGGGTCCTCACGGCTGGAGGCTGCCTTTCGGAATGGTTTGGTTATGAATGGGCGAGCTGCCCTAGTGCTGACGTGACAAAAAACTGTTGCGTTGGTGTCGGGAATGTGAATCAAACGAAGTTGCAGTGTGGAGTTGCTTTCTCGATAACTCTGCAATTCTTCGTCATCTTGTTGTGAGGCTGCGAGGGCTTCGTAATTGAAGATGGATTGAAACTCGTCAATTCGGGAATGAGCGTCAACGACAATGTTGTCTTCTCCGGAAATGTGACGAATGTCGGTGGTAAATTGGCTTATGAAATGTAAGTGCCGGAATTGTCGAGGCGAGCACTGTTGGTTCTCCTTCCCGAAGGCGTAGGTGATGGGTTTATGGTCAGTGTAGACTGTGAACGAACGACCTTCCACAATATATCAGAAGTGTTTGATTGCCAGGTATATCGCGAGTAGTTCGCGGTCGTACGCTGCATACTTGGATTCAGCCGGGCTTAATTTCTTCGAACAGAAATTGAGTGGCTGCCAGACGCCGTCGACGAATTGCTTGAGGACGGCTCCGACGGCGTGGTCGGAAGCGTCGCTAAAAATGGCTAGCGTGGCGCCGGGGTTGGGGTGAGCGAGCAAGGTCGCCTCAGCGAGACTTTCCTTGCACGTCTCAAATGCTTGGATGGCTGCAGGTGTCCACTCGACAGGTGTTGTTCCTCTTGCGTTGACCTGGAGGAGGTTGCTGAGCGGTGCTTGATTTTCGGCAGCCTTGGGCAGGAATCTCCTGAAGAAATTCACCAACCCCAAGAGCTTCCACTTTGTCGGGTAACGGGCGCGTACCAGCAGAGGAGATTAGATAGCCGAGAAATTTGACCTCACTTTTTCCAAAAATACATTTGGCGGGATTAATAAAAACGCCGTATTGCTGCAGTCGCTGGAAAAGTGTTTGTAGGTGTTGGAGATGTTCTTCCGGGGACGTCGATACGACGAGGATGTCATCGATGTACACGTAGCAGAAGAGACCTGGTAGTACTCATCGATGAAGCGCTAGAAGGTCTGAGCCGCGTTTCGTATCCCGAAAGTCATGTACATAAACTCAAATAGGCCGAAAGGTGTCGTGATGGCTGTGTTCGGAATATCTTCTTCGGCGACCGGTATCTGATTAAATGCGCGCACCAGGTAGATGGTAGAAAAATTGATTTTCCAGACAGCGACTGAGAAAAATCCTGGATGTGTTTTACCGGGTAGCGATCTGGGATAGTTCTGGCGTTGTTGACCATATGTAGGGATGATGACCATGAACTCTGCGATGGGCGGGCGATACCCATGTGCACCATGAGTTCGAATTCTTTTTTGGCGGCGGTTTTGCGAGGTCGGCGGTCCAGGAGTGGTTGCGATGTGGTGTTTCGTGGCGCGGTTAGCGACTTGAGCCGTACCGTTAGGTCGCGTTATTTCTGGGAACCGTTGCAAGAACTAGTGGTATGGTGATGATCCGGCGATAGTTTTGATTGTGTGGCAGTCACACTCGACCACCTCTCCACTTGGAGGTGAGATGAGTGACTTGGTCCAAAAGCCGGTGATTTTTGATGTCCACCAGGACTCCGTAGTGGGCTAGGAAGTCGGCACCAATAATGGGCTTGGAAACATCCGCTACGACGAATCTCCAGGTGAATTGTCTTCGTAGCCCCAAGTCCAGCGGAAGCGTAATCGTCCCGTATGTAGCGGTGGTTGTGCCATTTGCCGCGGAAAGTTCGTAGTTGGACTTTGCTCGCAGTTTTGGCAGTTTTGTGTGTAGAAAGACGACACTCCGGTGTCGATGAGGAACCGAACTTTTGTTTGACGGTCGGCGATGAACAATCGGCTGGAGGTTTGCGGGCTTGCATCGTTGGTCGCCATCAACGACTGCTCCCGTCGTTTCCCGCATCTGCAGGGCTTTTCACATTTTCTGGCGTTTTGTCCGAAGCGCCAGTGGTACCAGCAGGTGTCGGTCTCAGGAATGCGAACGTGACGACGAGCGCGAACGATGGTGTGGTCTAGAACTGTTGCGATGGTTAGGGATTGCGGAATTCATTTTTATGACTGCGAGCTCTACAAGTGTCTTTGTGAGCATGGATTCCAGCTGGTCCATTCTAGCAGTCGAGCATCGGTTAGTCGTATCTTCGTTTTGCGGAGCTTCGTATAACCGGTGCACACGTGGAATTAAACGGGGCAGGCGGAAGGCGAATTATGTTGGAACACCGAAAACGCGGACACTGTATGTACACTGATCACTCACCATGTTGCTAAGAAAAAACTCACGTCGGTGTCACCAATTGTGGGGTGATCAAGTGATTGAAACAGTACTTGCGTTTTGGCGTATTTATTTTGATGTTGTCGGTATGACAGATGAAGGAAGAGTCTTGGAATTTGTGAAATTGAAAGATCGGTAGAAAGCGGTGGAAACAGTTGTGTCTAAAGGGTTCTTGGAAGGTATCCGAAATCTGGGAAAGGATAAGTATTGCTGAGAAGGGTGAACAAAAGATAGGTTTTACGACATGCAGGTGGACGCAGAGAAAGTTTCGGGGTGATACTGGGAAGTAATTAAATACAGATTATATACAATTTTGTGGGACTTGCGAGCCCCTACAATACTATAAATTGTTGACCAGACAGATGAACAATAGAGGGTAAAAAAATCACCCTTAAATCTTTAATTTCATCAACCCTGGAAACAGGTTGATTACCTAACCGATAATTAATCAAAGATGGTACTCGATTTTAAGTTCAAGTAAGATATAATATGACCTTTTTTAATGTTTAATAGCAACCAGTTATCGCCACACCATTCGAACAATTTATGCAGATCTAGATGAAAATGTTCAGCATCCTCAAGACAATCAATAACCTTATACAACTTCAAATCGTCTGCATATAACAAACAATTAGAGTAACGAAAACAGGACGCTAAGTCGTTGATGAACAACGGGAACAGTATGAGACCACAATGTGTTCCCTGTGGCACACCCGAAGAAACTTCAAAAGTCGTCGAAATGTAATTTCCAATGCGCACCAACTGCATCCTCTCCGAGAGAAACGATAATAACCATTGAACAGTCAGGTCTTGAAAACCTAGCTTAGTAAGTTTCATATTGAGAACTCTGTGATTTTCACGATCAAACACTTTCGCGGTTGGAAAATACCTCATTAAAGAAATGATTGATGTTCCAGAAGATTTGACAATGTGGATCTATTCTTGATAAAACCCTATTGTCTGTCTGATATAATTGAAGATGAAAACCATTGGAGTTGACTTGTAACTATTGCGTCAAATAATTTATGTAATATTATATCATATTGGTTGCAGACACCTCCATAATTGTCTATTTTAGTGAATTCTCAAGATTTGAAAATAGATTGCACAAGTTTGTTACAAAGTCACAATCAACGACATTCTCGTTGTCCTTAGTATAGACGGAATCGACATATTCAGCAAAAAGATCAACAATTTCTTTACCACCTACCGGAATGACTTTTCTTCCTGTCATGTATAAATTTCCAAAAAAATTTAGGATCATTAGAGAAGCAACTGTTGACATTGGCGATGTAGGAACCATAAAGTCGTTCGCTAAGCTCCTTACAGCCGGTACGCAGAGATTTTAAATAAAGATAGTCTTCCAAAGTAGCAGACTTTTTGTATTTAAAATGAGCAGATTCATTCAACTTACAATTACTTTTAAGTTGGTTATTAAACGATCTGGAATTTTATTAAAAACTGTTACCAATTCATCTATGGAAGCAGCAACTCAGCAATTAATCCAATCAATAGAAGAAAAAAATATTAAAAAATATTTAAACACTCATAATTACCATTTGCAAAGTCAAAAACACAAATCAAATACCTAATCATTCCCTCGTAACACGCGTCTCCTAATTGTGTAAGGTTAATTATTTTCTTCATAAACTATTTTCTTCTACTCTTGATAATTTTTAGGCTTCTCTTATCGAAGTCCCCTCCTTTATAGAATAACCACTATGTTGCCGTTTCAAGTTCTGGCCGGTTTTTCCCTAGTTTTTTTTCGTTGTATTTTAGATTCCCATACCTTCGTTACTATTACATCATTTTTCATTCGAATTAAGTGACTGAACCACCTGAGTTCTAGCGCTGCCTTCTTTCTTGCACGTTCCTCACCCTATCCATTTTTGTTATTCCCAATACTTGTTCTAGAAATTTTGTCTCCTAAATGTACACTCACTAATTTTACTTTTCTTGAAATTTTTTTCTTCCCTATTAATGGATTTTTTGAGCTTTGATATAGCCGTGCTGCACTTTCAATTCTCTCCATTATTTCGACTTCTTGGTTGTCTCGGTTACTACTCATCATTTTTAAGTAAAAATTTGAAGCTTCCCACTTGTTCCAGTCTTCTTGATTTGCTTTTTTCCCTGTTACCATGACCCTGGTTTTTTCTCTATTCACTTTCAATTTGCTGCCGATCAAAGCTTCATTCCACAATTATTTCGACGTTCTTCTGTAAATTTTGGTCATCATCTGTACAGATTCCCAGATCCTTCGTAAAGACACACTATTTAATCGACATGAATTTTAAATGTAAATCTCCCACGTACCGGTTACTTATCTATTTGATAACGTCGTCCATTATTGTATTAAATAGCAATGGACTTAGGACATATTCTTGCCTTAAACCTTCCTTTATCAGAAACTCCAGTGATTCTAAATTATTTGTTCTGGCATAATTTCTTGTCACTTTATGTAGACTGGACTGCTTGTCTCAGGTTTTATTTATGTTCAGTCTAAAGCTTAGTCCATGAATGATACGAATATGTTTTTTCTTGCATCCTTTGTCCTTTCCGTGAGTTGTTTGATCGTAAATATATGGTCTTGATGCTCCTACCCTTCCTAAGTCCACTCTGGGATTGGTCGAATTGTCTTCTTTAATCGTTGAGGACCCGTTAATACACAGAGTAAGGTGATGCTTCGATAATAATTAAAACATTGCGTTTTGTGTCTTTTTCTATATGTTGGCAATATAATACCAACTTCCCAGTCTTTTGGTATCTTATTTTCACCCACGGTTTTATTAAACATTTCTATAAGCAGCTTCAGTCCGTTGTTTCCTAAGCTTTTCCACACTTCCCCGGTGCTTTTTCCTTTTTCAGCACTTTTATTTATTTTTGTACCTCTTCGATCTCGATTTTCGCTTCTTTTCCATATTCTTTATCCCTTCCGTTCAGTTTACGTAGTTGCTGGTTTCATCGTTGTTTAATAGCTTTTCAAAATAAGCTACATTTTCCAAATTTCCATTATATCTTCTTTTCTTAATAGTGCTCCTTCTGCATTTCTTTTTTGTTCAACTGCTTGCTGTTTTTTTGTCGTTCGCAGATTCTTCACCACTAAAGAACAGTTTTTTATTGACATGGTAGTCTTCGTCCTTTATTTTTTATATTATTTATGCTTTTTTTCTCGGTCTCGCTTGTAAATACTCTTACCTTCTTGGTTTTTTCGTTTTCACCTTCTTCTTAGTTTCATGATTCTACCAGTTGGTTAATTTTCTTCATGGGTTTTCTTTTATTGTTTCGCATGTACTTACAACGGCTTTATACAACGTCGCCTCCAAAAATGTCCATGTCTGCTCACAATTTAGCTTCTCAAAGTTTTTTCCTGTGATAATTATCTAAGTACTTGTGTTTTATCTCTATATTCTTTTGCTATTTATTGATTATTCAGTCTACATGTTTTTAGTTTTTATTTTATAGGTTTTCTCACGGGTGCTTGTTCTTTGGTACTTTCGTTCAATTCTCGTGTCAGCTTGGACCAAGAGTAGTCGCTGTTGATTACAGGGCCTCTATATAATCTATGGGGGATTTTTCGCGCCTACTAGTGATTGATGTAGAAAATTTGTGTCTTCGCCGTGACTTCCTAATACATTCTTTGTTCTTTCTTTCCTAATTGTTGTTCGTACCATGTCTTCTAGAATATTTGTTACCTCTGCCCAAAATGTATCTTTTATTGCAGCTTTGTCGTTTTCATTAGGGCCAGACAAGATTATTGTATTTATTTTTTCCTTCAATTGAGTTTTTATCTTTACTTTGATGCTTCTTTCTGAATATTGTTCCCATTTCAGTATTAACTTTGTTGTGTTCTTTTTCTCTTCACTTGCCCGCTCTTTCTTTTTTTCCAGCTGTCTTCTTCACCAATTATTGTTTTTGATGCAGGCCTTTCCCCACTTCCACTTTTTGCCAGCTCGTTCCGATGTCAGTTTCATTTTATCTGCTTTATTCCTTTTGCCGGATTCACTATTCCTTGACCTTACCTTGTCCATTACCGTATAACTGTTATAATTTTCCAATATTTGCACTAGTTTTTGGACTTTTCGGCACCTTGTTACATATCCATTTTCCCCCGTAGAGATTAATTCTTCGAACCCTATTTTCCTTAAATCTCTTTCTCCCTTTGCTCCTTTGCTTCCATCTTTATTTCCTTCTATATTATTCTCTGTTCTTTACTCATTTCATCGTCGGTACGAATTTTATTTTCCTTGATAGTTATTTTTTTTTCATAGCCAGTTCTTTATGGTGTATTTTCTCCAATTAAATTAGACATATGATTTCTCCCTAATATAAGCTAGTGTTTGAGATCATTTTACCTACTTGTAGGTACACAAAATTTTGATTTTCGATGAATTTTGCTAGTACGTATTTATATTAAGTAGGTATTATAAAACATAAACCTGATTTATATTCACCTCAAGTTTGAATTTAATTTTTTGCAACATTGTATTATCAGCTACATATTAAAATTAACATATTGATTACCAAACAGTTAACAAAGTCGGTGCAAAAATGATTTAAATAGTTGTCCTTGCAAAATTTGAATATTTTGTGTAAATAATTTGACAGATTTTATAAGTGTGCACCGTCACATTCAC